TCTTCACCCTCCCTCCTTTCCCTCTCTCTCCCTCAGTCATTTTCTTCCTTAAGTCTATTAACCTTTAGCTATCCAAAACAGCAAAACCATTTCTAAAGCACCAGCTTCTGCACCAGCAGCCTTTAAAAGAGATCCCCTGGCTTAGGCTATAACACTGCATGTGGGGGCTGGGTGGAACAAAACTACATGCCCACATTTTGGATGAATTGTTTGTGACTTTTTCTCCCATGCCCCTGTGCTGCACATAATGCAAACATGCAAAGCCTCAACACACAACCAACCCTCACCAAAGCCCAGCCCACAGCACCTCCAGTACAAAGAGCCCCTTCCCACCACACTCGCAGCACACCCAATGCTCAAAACAGAGGGCCACAAGGCAGGCAAACACCATTCCTGGCAAACAATGCTCGGCACCGCCGCACTCAAAGAGGGAGAGATCAGCATTCAGAGGGACTCAATCTAGGCGCTAGCAGCATTTAGCACAGCTCGCACCCTCACCCACTCGTGCACACCCACAAGCGCACGCACGGCACTAGTGTACTCCCACCTCCTCCTGTGACATTACTCTAACGTGGTCAGTCTAACAAAGCCCGCTCGGCCCCCGGCCGGCCGCATAGAGCGGCACTGCCCCCGAGCGTCTGGCCAAGTCGGCACGGTTTGCCCAGGGGCGGCAGAAACGTGCAAGGGCTTTGCAAAGCAAGCGATCGGGGAGCAGCCCGCGCGTGGGGCTAGCTTTGTGGCCCGGGAGGCGAGGAGCGGCGCAACGGGAGCTCAGCGCGCAGGCGAGGCGAGGGCGAGACAAAGCGGCCGAGGAGGAGAAAGAGCGAGCGCTGTGGCGGCACAAATACTTCTGCCCCGCTCACGTGTGCATCGCACGCGGGGCCGCCGCTCCACGCAAAAGCTATTTCAGCGCCCAGGACCGGAGAGAAGCCGGGGGGAGGAAAGGCGCCCCTGAGAGGAGGCGAGAGCAATGCGGGGGGGGCGGCAGAGAGTAGCCAGCCCTGTCCTGCCCCTGCTTTCCCCGCGCCGCCGCTGTCATGCGAGGACAGCCCAGCTCTTCCCGCCGAGACTGACAAGG